ACCCTACATGTGAATGAGGATGAGGCCTGGCTCAAACCGTCACACTTGTCACATGAGGAGGAGGCAACTGCCTCCACTTTCCAGAGGAAATCACACACTGTATTTTGCTGTTCTGCTCACATCAGCGCCTACGTTATCTTTGTCACGGCAACAGCAGGGGAGATCTGTCAGACAGGCGTGCTTAGCCGACTCCTGAATACGGTACCCTGCAGCGCAAGGCAGCAGCCCGATTGGGCCAGCGGAGCGCTCCGAGTGCGTCAGATCCTGTGGCTTCAAAGAGAAAGCATACGTCTCATCGGCTGGAGTAGGGCAAGGGCTATTGCACATCTCCGCAGTGTGGAAAGAGAGAGAGAGTTGTGCTGTGTGATATGGCTGATGTCACGATTTACTGACATGGGGTTTAAGGAATCCCCCTCCCTCTCTCTTAACCCTCCCCTGCAGCTCACCGCCCCCCTTGCCAGCTCATTCCCTCCCTCTTTGCTTCCCCCCAGCCCAATACTGCTTCCTCTGTTATGCCAGCGCAAGCGTTCATGGGGCCGCGCTCTGGAACTGATCCAAGTTTACACACACAAAAAATCCATCCAAACCCCAACCACAGCCTGTTTTTTCAGCAGGGCAATTTTCAATCCCTACAGCACAACAGAAAGTGAAATGACACATCATGGCTGAGCTGATCTAGCAGCCTGCTGCAACTGAAAGGGGGAAACGCCCTCCTCCCTTCTCCTCCCATCCCTGCTCTTACCTGCCTGCATGCCTACTCCTAGATGTGAGTTCCCACTGCCTTGTGTTGGCGTTGGTGCTTATAAGATGCATTTCAACTCATTGATCCAAAAGAAAATGTCTATTTTTTCTTGCTAGTTTTTTTTTTTTTGACAGTTTAGTTAGCTGACTTGGCTCACGGAGTTGGACGGAGGCCGCGGCACAGCATGGCAAGAGTCCACCAGGGCTTTGGTGGATTCCTTCCAGGGCTGTAGCACAGAGCAGGGTGCTCCTCAACAGAGCGCTCCCTTTGAAGCCCCCCTAGTGTCACATACTAGCATGGAGGTGTGATGCCCCATCATGGTCAAAGCGTGGTTGAGAGGCTGGTGGCCCTTGTTTAGGGCCTCCGAGTTTTGTTCGTAGAGCTGTGTTGCAAGCTAGGACGCTCTATGAATCCAAGTTAAAATGTCCTTTGTAACCTCTAAAAAATAACTCAAGCAATGTCAGTGACTGGGGTCATACTACAGCCCACCTGCTGCTGCCCTGGCTGCAGGAAGAGCTGAGGTCAGGGCAGCATCCTCTCAAACCAGCTTCATTTTCAAAGAGGACAGAGGTGAACAGCAGCCTGCATGCAACATTAGCTGTACTTACCCCAACCAAGTTTTTGTTTTCTGCGGCAAATATGATGTGTTCTGCTGTTAACAGTGGAAGAAAACCAACCACACCTAGAAAAGCACAGATAATACTGCAAAACAACCTGAACTCTGAAAGATTACATATGTCACTGTTTAAATACAGAGATTTAGACACGGTGAGCGGCTTGCCTGGTAAGCCACTGGTTCTCTAGCTTTTTGACTCTGAGGGCCAGGCCTCAGATTTCCCACAGGATCAGCATATCCCCGCACAAAACCAATGAGTCTGTCAGCTAAACAGTTTAATAAGGCTTGTCGGCCATTTACGATGTTCTCCAAACACCACAGTTCAGGAACAATTGTGAAAGTCATTTAGCAAGTTACACTGAAAAGCCTGGACAGTCCCATCTTCTTTCCAAACCTTCAAGTGCCTTCAGCAAAAAAAAAAAAAAAAAAAAAGAAAAAAAAAAAAAAACGAAAACCTTTTCACTGCTAAAACTATCAAAGAGATAGGATAAAAGGCCTGAGATCTTAATGGTTGGGAGCTGGGCTGAATACCATATCAGAGTGAGCCACAGAGAGACTTGCAATGCTGTGACATAAAGGAATGTTTATTTCTCAGGACTCTCAACGCAGCATGAAAATACAGAGTTGCTGGAAAGGTAAAGGCTAAAGTTCATGACATGTCAGTTAAATAATTGACTAGGCTCAGCGCTCTTTGCATCTTGCTCCAGAAAGGAAAGGAGGAATGTTACACACAGCAGCTGGCATTTGTACCCTGGTCCTTTTGCATAAGGGAAGCTCCAACTGTCCCGATTTCCTTGCTGCAGCTCAATTTCCTACAAATATCCTGTGGCCCAGCTGGGCTGCCAGAGCAATTACGTGTCTCAATTGTCTGATCATTTGTCTGGGTTATTTCTGAGCTGGAAAGCCAAACGGGCACGGTCCCTGCAACATGTTCATTTGGTTGTCACATCTCTATTCACCCCAGCACAGCATATGCCATGTACCTGAGCTGGAGCGCAGCTAGCATGAAGGACTGGATGGGCTGACTGCCTGGCTGGCATTATGGTGGGACACCTATCAATACACACCGGGTAACCCCACATTTCTAATTTGCTGTAGGCACTCCTGGGCTTTTGGGTGCAGCTGGGCCTGAAAAAAGCTGAAATTAGCTGTCCAGACAAAAACCCAGCCCTCCCACAGGATCTTGGTCCTTTATTCTTCCCTTGGCTTTTTTTGTGTTGCAGGAATCCATTTCCCCTCCTCTGCCAAACACCACAATGTCTGTCTTTTCCATTATGAAATTGAAAGCTCCCTGCAAAACCCTGATGTTACAGATTGCTTTCCTTCCATCAATAATTGTTGAAAAATTAAAAAAACTCTTAAGAATATTAAGTGCCTCTTACCCCCTCCTCCTCCTCCCATTTACACAACACATTGATAAGATCATTAGTAATCAATTAGTAATCATTTAACATCTGATTTTCGTGTTTGTTGTTTCTATTGCTATAACATTTTTGCTTTTTAAAATTCCAGGACTTGGCTTTTCAAGAGCCACTGAGGTTGTGTGGGAGAGATGTTTGCATCTTTGCCAGGGCCCCAAGGATCTGCTTTATATCTGGACTGTTTAAAATCTCCTTCACCATCAAGGCTCCTGTTGCAACTGCCATCATTTCTATTTTGTCATTGTGTGTGTCCTCCTTCTTCATCTGGCAATATCACTCTAAGATGGACCAATACTGCTTCCTTTCTTTTTTTCTCTAGACTTGAGTGTGAACTGGAATCATATTTCCTACATAACCCAGACGAGAAACTTTCACTAAGTCGTTAATAACAAAATAAGATCCTGCCAGACTAGGGTATTTTGAAAACAGAAATTATCAGCCTTACTTTACAGAAGGGTAGAAAGAAGTAGAGAGGATATAGGGCTCCCCCCTCCTCCAATCCACTGTGAGTTTAAGGAGCTCCTGCCTGCCCTTTATTCCAAACACTAGAAAACAGATTTCCACATGACTGGACACTGCATTGAAGGCATGCTTACCCTGTTACTGCAAAGCACCTCTGGCGTGGTGCTTAACTCGATTTGCAATTCTGAAGGTGCCTTAATGCAAAACAAGAGTATGCTGAGAATCAAATCTGCATGAGACATAAGCAGAACCCAGGGCTGTCCAGGCAGGTCCCTGTCTACACCAGAGCGCCCACTTGCAAGATGATATCTTCTGATGACCCAGTGGGGTCTTCCTGGTACAGTAAGACCAGTTTATTGTCTTTAAGCTCAAACACTGCCCAGATGTATTGGAGAGAGACTGCATCACAGAAAAGCTACACAAACTCCAAACGAAAGAAAACTGCTTGAAAGCCATTTGAAAGCCTGGTACAAGCAGAGAGTCTTCTCGGGAATCCCTTCAGGACAGCAGTCCTTCTCAGGAGGGATTACACTAAACCACTTACTCAGCCACACCAGGCTTTGTGGTACAGCACTGTGCTAATCCTCACCCATGAGATAAACACCTCCTGCGATAGGAAGCCACGTAAGTACTCTCTGCAATAAAAAACAATGCTGCCAATGCATTACGTAGTCCTATTACGGATCAATCTTACAGATGCTTCTCAGCTAGAGCTGTTGACTAAGGTCTGAACTACATCCGAACAAGCTGCAGTCAGACACTCACAGAAGACCAGCTCAGGAGCTGTGTTTTTGAAAAAGATCCTTCTCCAGTTGCACGTGGGCACAGCACAGGTCCTGCATTGCTGTCACTTCTTGGCAAGTGATAGACTAAAATCCCAGCCCCGATGTCCCAAGCACGGTTGTGCAGAAGATGGAGACATCCATTCCCTTCTCATTGTAGTGGGAACGAGACATTCTGTTCCCCCAGCCAAGCTTGAAAAATCTCACCCTTCATTTTAGTATTCAAAACATTTTCAGTTTTGCAGAGGAGGGTTTGCTGATATTTCAGAAATGAGAAGACAACTGCTTCGTGATCTTGTAACTAGGGAGCAAACGAGAGCTCATCGCAAAATGGGAAAGGATTGCGGGGGAGTTGCACGCTTCCCACCTAACTCCTGGGGTTTTTTTTTGCATTAGAATTCAGTAACTTAAACAGGGCTTCTACCACAGATCTTGTGATACAAGACGTTTTCCAGGAAGCCTGGCTTGGAGTGAGAGCGATACCTAAAGCCCTCAAGAGTTAATACCAAGAATAAAAGCACAAATTTCTAGTTCACAGAACTGAGAAAAATGTAGGCAGTAGGAAACCTCAAGATTCAGAAACAGGCCACCCATCAAAAACAACCCATTTTGAAATCTTTGCCTTTTGCTGTTGTTTCTAGAGGGCCGCACTGATGGCTTTTTAGGACTTGTGTTTTATCACCCAAGTACTGTGAGTGGAGTTACGGCTGGTACTAGTAAACTTCCCTGTACACTGCCTTGGGAAAGAAAAATAAAAATCACTGGGCCATGTGGGATAAATTAGCACTTACCCCTAAAGGAAATCTTTCCAGGTCCATATATTGTAAGGCCAGGCATGACCATAAATTCATTCTGGTCATTCTGGTCGAGTTGTGGTTGAGGTGTAAGGGTGGTAGCAAACTGAAGAACCTACCCACTTCTTTGCATACTAAACTCAGTGCTTTGCCTGAGCAGGAGTCACAGGGCTCTTTCTCAGTGGCATCTCCTCTAGACAAACTCTGTCCAACGCCATTTGTACTCTGTTCCTTGTGGCATGCTGAGTTTTCCTTTGCAATCCCACTATCACTTGAACGTCCAGCACTTTTGATTGACCCAGCTGGTTTCTTTCAGGTGGTCATAATGCAGAGCAACAAATAAATAAATATGCAGTTGACATGTTTTGTGGTGGAACAGAGAGCCTTCCTTCCAAACAAAACAAAACAAAACACGCCAACAAAACAAAAAACAAACAAAAATAACACCCCACAATGCCTAAAATATTTATACTTGGAGCAACTAAAACATAGCCAGAACCCCAGTTGTAGACAGTTCTTTATCAAGTTCTCGTATCAGAGCTTGATGAGCTCTTTCCTCACGAGCTCTTCCCTCTTAAGGGAAACTTAAGAGAAGAAACACAAGGCCTGTTAAATAAACCTTTTCTATCCAACTGTGAAATTATCTTTGATTTCTGCTAGTGACATAAAGCCATGCTGGACTGGTTGCAAACTTCATTAGAAGGAGATAATTATAAAGACTCACCTCAGAAGTAATTAATTCTATCGATGTCTTTAATTGTTAAATGCATGAAATGATAATATGTTAAGCTTAAGGGTACTTCATTTGCCGCTGAATACTGGTAATAGGATAGGATTTATGTCACCTTATTGATCTGTGTTTACACGACAACACCGAGCAGACAAGCTTAAGGAAAGGGACACATTTCCTTTGATAAGGGCTATCCCAACTAATTCCCAACAGCCTGACAACTGGGAGGAAGGGGATGAACTTGCCCCCTTTGATTCAGAGGTGTGGGCTGTGGAAAGGTCTTCATTTCGATCAAGACAGAAGATTTGCAGGCTATATCCTCCCCTTTGATATTCTCCCTCACTGCTGGAGGGACAGAGCACATCTGAGTTGAAGAGGCCAAGGTCCGATCTTCTCCTTTGCCCTGGCTGCTTGTCCCCCAAGCTGACATTGTTGCTTGATCCTCTAGAAAGCAAGCAAATACGGCATTAATTACTTTTTCTCATAATATTACTTTTCTGCCAGCTCAGCTTCCCAAACTGACTCATTTTCCAGCCACACCAATGCTAGTGCTGGCTCAAAGGAGGGAACAGGACCACAGCAGCCTTCACTTACATCAGCATGAGATGCTGCACCTCTAAATGCTGCACCCATCTCAGATGCCCAGATGCCCTGGGACTGAGATCAGGAGCTCTTCAGGAAGAAGCGCTGCATTGCCCCGCATGAGTGAGTCAAGCACACTGCGAGCAGCCCTGGAATACAAATCACAAACCATCATCGCTCTAGCTAGTGAACAGTGGGAGCGAGAAAGAGTCAGTCATTTCTAAACTAAACAATGGTGGGGGGAAGAGTGTAATAAAAAACACTACAGGGTAAGTCCATTTATTCGCATACATTTTCTCTCTCTCTCTCCTCCCTCCCCCAAAAAGCAAATGCCACATCATTTGTATTTCTTAAAATATCCCTTGTTAATGTAATGAGGTCATTGACAGTAACCTCAAGTCAGCATCCTATTGCGATTCTGACAATGCAGCAGCATCCTCACTCCTCCAAGGAATTGGAAAACACAAGCAGTGCGGAAAACACAAACGTCAACACACAAAACAAACAGATCTGATGATGTGATGTACCAGAGCAGCAACAAAGAGCCTCCAGGGACAGCAAGAGATAGCACCTATTTGCTGGGAGGCTAACCCAGGGGACATAATGAACCGGCAAGGCACAGCTCAGCTTCTCTGGATTCGGAAAGTAATTAAAGGAGGCACAAGTCAGCAGAACAGAATATTACACTGTGACTTTGTTAGACTTATCAGCACTCACCCCCTAATGAGAAGACTCCTCTTTCCTCTCCTTCCGTATCAGTACATTTTATTACCAAAACCTACATCATCTCACATAATGGAGAAATTCATTTTAAAACTTTTTCAAAACGCAGCTTGGAATCTTAGACTTTCTAGGTGGGAAATATATAGAGAAAATAAAAGAAGATCAAGTAAGAAGGTGGTTACTTAGACAGTAAAGTGAAATGAAACCACAGCTGCAAGACTTCATGGATCTATATGGCAAGGGGAGCCCACAGCAAAATCTTGGTCTCCTGCCCAGCACAGGCAACAGCAGGAAACCCACCACCGTATGGCTATGTCAGTACATATCTGCCACAAACTCATACTGAAACTGGGCCAGATACCTGGTACTAATACTGCTCTGTCCTGAGTTCAAAACAAGTGTTTATTTTAAACTTCAATGGAAGAAAAACCTGTCTACAGCTGGTTGCCACAATACACTGGTCAGAATGGGACATATCTGGCATCAAAGGGTATGCAGGACTGATTTCAAGCTAGTATGGTTACACACTCCCGCAATTCAAGGTCTTTGGAGATGGAGTTCTGGAAGGAGCCCTTGTTCTCTCTCATTTACTTCTTCATTTTCACTCATAGTTAGATACCCTGTGTGTGGCTGAAACTAGACAAAAAATATTGTCATGAAAGGGACTGATCTCATGGCATTTCTTAGCAGACAGAGTACTCAGATATTACAGCAGTGTCAGCATTACTGTAGTGACTAGAACATTAGGAGACTTTTCTGGAACATGGCAGTATGGAGAACAGTAGGTTTGCCTACGTTGCCTTGCACAGCCAGCACCACACGGGCCCAGTACATCATCCCAAACAAGGCCAGACCCCCTTTTCAAGTTTACACATCCAGAAAAGAGGAAAAGATCAAAGCTGTGGGAGTACTTTTAAATCCTGGAAGAACTCTCTCACTCTGTTCTGCCGAGAGAGAGAGAGAGATCTCTCTCTGAGACAGAGATATTGTTAGAGAATTAATTACTCTTATGTCAAGAGAGTAATCCTTGCACGGCCTTCACCTCATTCCCAGGCACACTGACCTTCATTACACCTTGACTCTTTCAGCCCATGTGGCTATAAATTAGGACAGACAGGTTACGCCCTTTCTTTCTCCTGTAATGCGGAGGAGCATCTCAGCTACGCTCTTGGCATGTAAAAGCTTTTGCCCTTTCTGTTTTCCTCCCTAGAGAATGAGCCATCTATTAAGCAGGCAGATACAGTTTTATCTGGTGATATCTTATGTAATTATGTGAGTGAACAACAGAGACAAACAGAACAGAAGATGGCAGAAACCAAATCCAGAAAAAAGCAAAACCCGTAAAATTTCCAAAGTCCAGAGAGATATAATATCACTAATACTTGACCACTTCAGCACATCCCTGCAGCTACAGTATGCAAGAAAAAGCTTTCTCCCCACAACTCCCCAGAAGCACTTTTCCACAACTCTAGTCCCACATCAGATGCATTTCAGATAAGCTCCAAAGTCCAGCCTATTCAACCAATATCGACTTCTTAAATCAATCAGGTTAGGCTTGGACTCCCACAGAAATGAGGCTTTGTCTGAGCTTTGTGCATCTCATCAATACCTTGCTCTTAACCGTCAGCTCACTACAAGTGATGGGGCCAAAGAGCAACTTTCCACTCACTTGATTTCTGTGGCATAATGTTTGCTGTGTGTTTGTTTGTGATTCCATAGCTTGTGCCTCCATTAACCTAGATTTATAGATGGTCTTTAGTCTAAACTGCTATGGCCAAGACTGCCTCCCTAACTCAGTCAGGAAATATTGCAGAGGTTGTCTTCTGAATAGAAAAACAGTAATCCTGGTACCAAACAGGGAACAACGAGCGTGTAAGAAACAAGCAGCTGAAAACGTCTCCCAGACCTCAGTCAAGTATAGGAAGAACAAATAGCCAAAGGTGGCAGCTGATTTGATCTAAAGTGCAAGAGTTCTGGGGTCATGAATCTTGCTTTGAATCAGTCCAGATCTTTGATTTGTTCTAGATGCGAGTGCAAATCTGCCCCAAGTCTCATAGGCTTCTACAAGGTGATCGGAATGGTAAATTAGGCCCCGTGATTTAAAAAAAAAAAAAAGGTTTTGGTTCAAGTTTTGGGCAAAGTGCTGTTTTATTTTGTTGTTATTCTTCCGATTGCTTACCCATCTCTGCTCTAAAGCTGAAATAAGCTTAGCTCATAGACCTCTCCTGTGGGATCCACTTGTAAGTGCCAGCCCTGCACGCATGCGCAAACACAGACACGCACACTAAATATTACCTAATAAATACTCATTAAGGGGCTGGGACAGTTCATTCATCTGATAACAGCACACACCTTAGGGAATGAAATAATATCCCAAAGCTGGGCATAAATGCACATAACACAAAGATGTCACTGTTTACCCCACCTGATAGTCATTGTAAAGCGCATACAGGACATGAGGAAACAGAGTTAGGGGAAAGCGCGCCCTATAGGGCTAAATTCTGTACATTAACTTGGGAACAGGCAGTCTTTCCTTGGAAAATTTTGTAATTTAGGACAATTGTGCATGAGTGAGATAAAGTACTGCTATTTCCACATTACAGATTGAAAATTGATGCACAGATAAAAGAAATTACCTGACCGAGATTGCTCAAGAACTTGGTGGCAAAGCCACAGGTCCTCTCTCCTTTATACTAATTTCTTGACGCTTTTCCTACAAGATCTTCCCTATTACTAGCGGTGTGTGAACCCAAAGAAAGTTCAGCGAGGGGGGACTGCTTGCACAAGCATGGCAGCAGTTCTCAAGGTCACCTAGACTTTCCAAACAAAAGCGGGAAATCCTGCATGGACATGCTGTCTCTGGCCTGGGGCTCTGTCCGAGAGCCCACAGTCCCATGCAAATAGCTGTTCTCCTGGGATACTCACTTGAAGGAGTTGTTATGCTAGCTCCTCTTCTGCTGTGAAAGTAGACACTTTCACTTGCCCATTGTGTAGCCATAGAGAGTCTTTACACCAAATGTGGCTGTGCCTCCCTGTTCTCCATTGTTTTATATCATGCCAGTGAAAAATACTGGGATGATTGTACTGGGCATGGGCTCTATTTATGCACCTGCCAGAGCGATGAAAGCTCTCTTTCACCTTGTCCAGCCAAAGCACCTGCACCATGATGTACTGGGGCCACCTCAAGGGCTGAAAGAGCAGTTTAGTTTCCATTGTTCACTCCCACATTGGCGCCTCAGTCGAAAACGCAAAGAAAAGACTGCCAAGTAGAAAAGGTCAGGGAGGTAGATGCATACTTGTATAACCAGCTTTGCAGTGACACCACCCTTGTGACCCACAGACCAGTGAATACTCTGGTTCAGGTTTGGTTTTCCTCCTGTCTAGATTTGCCCTGGTAACAGATGTTCATTCAGTAACATGCTACAAAATCTTTCACTTCTAATCTCTGACATTGCTGATTCCTTTCCCCTCCATGTTAGAAGCTAACTTGGGTCCAAAATGTAAAAGAGCATCCTGTCACCTAAGAGGCAGAATGAAACCAGAGAAAATAGCACAGATTCTTGTAATAAAAGACTGCATTGGAATGAGCATGCACAAAAGGTGTTGAATGAATACATCATGGACAACTTTAACCAGTGTTTTCCAGCTCTGCAACTCTAGTATATTTTAAGGTCAGTTTCTGGATGCAATTCATACAGGTACACACAGCATAGAATTGAATATGCTTTCTGACCTCTAAGAGGGTAGTCTATAAATATTTTTCAAGATCCATTCAAACATTCAGTGAAGACAATAACGTTACATTTATCACCCAAACTCACCACAAAATGACTAGAGCTTTTTTCTTTCTTTTCCCCCCTTAGAAAAACAATAGGAAACAAACTGGCTTATCTTACTGTACCTGCTGTAAATACCTTTATGGCAAGGCAATTGCCAAGTAGATTTGCACTGAACAATTCGTTTCTTTGCTAGAGTAACATTTGTCATGCTCTTTAGAGATGGCAGAAGAGAATTCCCCTGTGACCTTTGGAAAATGAAATCAGTGACATTACTCAGAAGTCAAAGTTGAGAAGTTTGTTTTTAAACTTAAGAAGGGTTTCCCATGCCTCCTGAAAAAGACACGATCTGTACTTCCATGAAAATGGAGCTGAGCTTACTTATTCCAGCCCTTTTAGACCATTAATGATTTGTGCCTAACACCCGAAGTAGGTGATTCATTGATTAAAGCACTGCATGGCTCCCTGTCTTATGCACAGCTCTGTTCTCGTAACACAGCAGCAGAGGACATAACACCGTGGGCTGCCTGTACTGGAGAGAAGATCATGAGCTCGATTGTGCGGTACAAAGGGAGAGCCAGTATCAAACGCTGCCTTGCCACGCTGCATGAGAAACCGCCTCTGCAAATTACATAATACCCCCTGGATGTTGCCAGCAGTGCCATGGCAGGCCCACGTGGCTGCCGCTCCAACAGGGTGGAAGCCAGATCGGGTTCCTCCCTCCCTCCCAGCATGGGAAAGCTCAGGCAGGCTGTTGTGTAGGCAAAAACCCCTCACTTATCTCCTGGGAAAGAGCTGTGCTGCTCTCCAGTGACTTCCTGAAGCGCAGAGTTGTGGTAGTGGATCAGAGGCAGTCCCTGCGTCCCCACAAGCACACACGCTGCAGTGCAGAGCTTCTGAGGAGTACCTAAAGACAGAAATATGACTAACATCATGCTTGTTCCCTTTGTTCATATATCACATCCCTTTCCCTGAGCCTATGCCCTTCTTGTTTACTGAGATAGGAGGCTCTTGCACTCCAGCTTTGGCGGGTTCCTGTGCATTGCTGTAGCAAACACATCTAGACGACAGGAGAATACTGTTAATACAAAGCCTTTGTATATTGAAGACCCCATCTCACACTCAGAGTGCAAGTGAAGAGGTGTGGATGACAGTACAGCCAGGCTGACGTGGTACCTTGCTTTTTGCTGTTCATGAGTTGGATGAGCATCTGTGCCCACACAAAGGAGGGAATGGAAGAAAAGAGCAGCTGGGGTGGTGGGGGGGAGCTGGCTGGTCAACTGCCTCTGATGTACTGTCAAACTGCATCGTGCAGCTGAAATCTCTAGAGTAGTCAAAATTCCCACTAGAATAGCAAATGGCAACATTCCCAACTGACTTTGAGGGGGCAAGATTTCATCACTAGCAAATGTGACCATGACATGGTATGTGTGACCTACCCCTTTTCATTTTGCTTGCCTGAGAATACATTGGCCTGGAATTTCTCCCCTCAGCTATTATTGGTGGCATCAGAGATTTACAAGACAGCAGGGAACACTTCCTAATATTGCCTGGGTGTAACTCTCCAGCATGACTGATTGTGCTATTAACTGTGGCAAAGGGAAGAGCACAAGTGGACAGGCAAGGGAGAACGTTTCAAATCCTGGAGATGAATGATAAGTGATATTAAATACTTCTATGTATGCATAATACATGTTTGAAACTTGCAAGAATGCTGTTACAGATATTGCTGGGTTTATTACAAAAGGGGAAAGTATTTAGAATAGTGGAGCCTACGCAGGAATAATAAGATCTACGTAAAGGGGATCTGAAGGGGGAGTGTCAAGAGGATGAGGCCAGCCTCTTCTCCGTGGTGCCCAGCAACAGGACAAGAGGCAATGGGCAGAAACTGAACCACAGGAAGTTCCACCTGAACCTGAGAAAAAACTTCTTCACTGTGAGGGTGACAGAGCATTGGAACAGGTTGCCCAGAGAGGTGGTGGAGTCTCCTTCGCTGGAGATATTCAAAAGCCGTCTGGATGTGATCCTGGGCAATGTGCTCTAGGTGACCCTGCTTGAGCAGGGAGGTTGGACTAGATGATCTCCAGAGGTCCCTTCCAACCTCAACCATTCTGTAAACAAGACAGAAAGGAGGTGGGAGTTATGAAGTTATAAAGAGTTACAGCAGAGTTTTTAAATTAAAGACTGTGGAGAAGCTAAGAGGTATGGAAGTAAACTCAGGCTGAGTGAGATCCTAAAACCTCGTTATTAAGAAAAAGGATAGGACACAAGGCAACGGAAGTAAGGTGGCAAACAGAGAAGATCAGTCTTAATAAGTGAAGTCCCAGCTAAGTAAAGTGTGCGTGCACGCACACACACACACACCCCACAAAAAGATAGGTAGCTAGACCAAGATCACATTCACAGCCATTTCTGTGCAAATAGCAGTGTTCTGAAGAGAGACGAACTAGAATGCCTGGCTTTAAATAAGGATATTGACAACACATGCATCTTGGAAACTTGCTACAAAGAAAGTAATGAATAAAATGCACTTAAACAACACAAATAACAGAATAGTTCAAGCCAGTGGGGGAAGGAAAGCACTCGATACATATTAAAAAAAGCATTAAGTCAAATAAAGCAAATAAGTGACTCAGTTTCTCTCAAAAAAGTTCTACATGGATTGAAATTCCATGGAGAAAGAGAAAGAATAGTGTATTCGGGATATACTACCGACTGCCAAACTGGAGCGGTGAAAGTAACATACAAAAATATTAGAGAATGAAATAGGAATAGAATTGCCACAGGTGACTCTGTTTACCTATATATAGCTGTACCTCTAGATGTTTCATCCGGATATGACATATCAACTCAGTTTTTAGACAACTTAAATGCCTGTTTTTTGTGAAACTGGGAGAACCTACAGGAAGAGGATCAATGACACTTGATTTTGTCCTGATTGGCACGCAAGATCCGGTTTAAGCTGCAACTGAGGAAGAATCACTCTACTTGTCATAAGAATTTATCAAATTCATCATTGAGTTTTAAAAAGGGGAAATCACATAAAAGTGAGAAAATTTCTTGAAATGAACAGCTAAAAAGGGATAAAACACTTGCAGATGATATACTCTTACATACTGTTTAAAGACACTGTATAGCAGGCTTAGCATCAAATAAAAAACTTCTAAAGGAAAAGAAAAAGTAAGCAAATGTGATTAAACAATGTAACACTTCTGAGCTGTAAAAGGAAATTCTTCAAAAAATGGGGAGTAAAGGAAGATGGAAAAGAAGCTAGCCTGGCAAAGCGGGTATAGAACTACAATAAAGTACAAGAAAATGAAAAGCAAGGTGCTAAAGACATAAAACTTAATAAGAATTTTTCAAGCACAACAAAATCAGTAAGCCTGCCAGAGAGTTGGTGGGGCGATGATCCGTAAGTAAAAGGAGCACTTAAGAAAGATAAGGCCATAGTAAAAAAGCTGAAATGAACTCTTGGCATTAGTGCTCCATGTAGATTTCACATGCTGGAATAACAGTTTAAAGAAGATCAGTCTTAGGGGGGCAGTTTCATGACACCTTAAACCAGCCCAGGTTGAAGCTGCTGTGATTTCTCCCTTCTCCTTGGTCAGGGTCTCCTTCCCCCTTCCCTTCCTTGTACTGGTCTTTGTCTGATCCTATGCTGAGGCAGTTCAGCTCAGATAGACCCAAGCTAGTCACCAAGACGATAGGCGATGCTGTACACAATGTGGGATAGAAGGAACTAGAGACAGGTTCCAGAGTGTTAGTGTTGCGAACTACCTCCAGGGAGAAACCTGATGAAGGACTTCCATGACTTGGGGATGTGGAGGGAAAAGCAATCACCTAGAACCTCAGCCTAACGAGCAACAACAAAAAGAGATGCTGAAGGAACTGAAGAGAGGGGCTGAAACCTTGTACATTAATGTAAACGACGGGTCTCCTCCTTGCCAGAAAATGGGCCTATGTTGGAGGAACCCTACGACTATGCCATAAACCTGTCTGGTTCTGCTGCTCCATACAGGAGCCAACAATTCTCATCCCAGTGGACCACAGAATAGCGAGGCCCATCAGATTTCCTTACCTCTTTGTGTCTGCGTAGCACTCTGTGGGCAAGGAAAAGCAGCATGTGGAAGATGAGAATATTACAGTTTCCGAGCTGCACGGCTCAGAGACAAATCAGCTGGATGTTACTCAGCCCACTAAGATGATTCACAGAGGTTGGTTAAGGACTGGTATGCTTTACCTGACACAGAACTGACAGAAAGCAAAACATTCACTCTCTGTGCCTCATTGAACTCGTATATAAATTAAGATAATACCTCCCTCATGCAGTTACTTCAAGAATTAATTGAAACGGCCAAAGCTTTGAGATTCATAGACGCACACACAAATTATTTAAGCAGCTTTTAGGCAGTTCTCTTTTAAACGTGAAACAGACATAGTTACGTCAAGGTCCTTTCAATTGGATGTATGACCGAGATGAAAGCAAGGGTCTGGATCTGATCATCTTCAAAGTCGGAGCACCTGGGGTGGCTGTTCTGGGTGGATGCCAAATATCGTACAGGCATTGGAAATTCAAAACATTCCAACTGGTGATTTGTTGCATCGACCTTTTTCGTTTAAGCTAGTTGAGGCTATGAATCAATATGGCACAGACTTCCTGTGATGGACAGAACCATGTTGCAATAATTTAAAATAGTGGCATACTAAAATTGGATTATTTCCCTTTCTGAACACTTCTGCTTATTCACAAATTAAGCAATTTTAAAGCTTTCAGTTTTTCCATAAACATCTGCCACAAGCAATAACGTTTAGCCATGCCTCAGCAGGTCTCAGTTCCAAGAGCAGTTTTTTTATGATCATTTCTACTTTTTTAATAGTAGCTCTCCAAGACTTTATTTGGAACATGTTGTGCTGTACAAAGCAGAAGGAGAGACTTCATACTTTATCCAGAACGAAGAACAGGATTCTCCAAAGCCAAGCGCAGCCAGAAGTACAAATAGATGGCTTTCCCAATATTTGACATGCTCACACCAATTAAAACAAAATTAAATGAAGCGTAGCGAGCCTTTAAATATTGCTTCTTTTCCATAAAATTGATTAATTGGAGTTTCCTGGCCACATGGATTCTCCAAACTGAAAATACAAGCGTTCTTCTTCTGCAAGTCTCAGCATGGTCTACCTGAGGGGTTGGCAGTAGAGAGTTATCACAGAGATGTGGTAGGAAATCCTTTCTCCC